ACTGATGCTGAGTGAAGTGAACAGAACCAGGAGAACATTGTGCACAGTAACAGCCACATTATGCAATGACTAGCTTTGTTAGACTTAACTCTTCTGAACAATGCAATGATATAAGACAATTCCAAAAGACTCATTTTGGAAAATGCTATCCACATTCAGAGAAAGAACTATGGAATCTGAATGCAGATTGAAACATACTATTTTCTCTCTCTCTCTCTCTTTTTCCTTTCTCATGGTTTCCCCCTTTTGTTCTAATTCTTCTTTCACAGCACGACTAATGTGGAAATATGTTTATTATGATCATACATGTATAGCCTATATCAGATTGCATAACGCATTGGGGAGGAGGGAGGGGGGAAATTTAGAACTCAATATCTTATAAAAGTGAATGTTCAAAATAAATAAATTAATTATTTTTTTTAAATCCTTGTAAAAAAACCTAATAATGCCATAAAACAATGCCTGAACTGGCTGAACCCACGAAAGGATAGGGTGAAATATTTTCTAGCCAACAACAACTATAAGAGCTGCAGAAAAGGTCTGTCACACCTGGGTGAGGGTGGAGCACAGTCCAGCTCAGGGATATGCCAGCACAGCCCCAGCCCCAGCAAACCAGGAGCAGGCCTTGGGAGTCATGGAATTAGCAGCAGCAGAAGCTGCTTCCAGAGATCTCAGCCCACAGATGCTAAGGGGGCCAAAGAACTGGTCAGAAGAAGATCACAGGGGTCTCTTTGCTAGCCCTGAGGCAGGACTCTGTTTCTTTGCCCATATTCAGATCTAGGTTGCAGTCCCAGGTGGCAGTGCCAGGGTGAGCACTAGCACACAGGAACTTGTGACTGAAGTTGAGCAGAGACCCTCCCCACGGTTCCAGGGAAGAAAAGAGTGTTTCTGTTAAGTCACAGACCACAGCGCAGGCCAGGAAAGTAGTAAACACACCTCTTCTTAGATCGAACTGAAAACTTACAGGTCCCTAGAGATATCTCTGAAAACAGCTGCACAAAACCCCTGAAGCTTGGGACAGTGCACCCTCCACCCTGGAAGCAGAGCCCCACTTTAACAAAGAGTTAAAGTCAAGAAATAGATTGGGGGAAATGAGCAAACAACAGGAAAAAAATCTGACCATAGAAAGCTACTGTGTTGATATGGAAGATCAAAACAAGCATTCAGAAGAAAATAAAAAAGTCAGAGCTCCCACATCCAAAGCCTCCAAGAAAAATATGAATTGGTCTCAGGCCATGGAAGAGCTCACAAAGGATTTTGAAAGTAGAAGAAAAATTGGGAAGAGAAATGAGAGTGATGCAAGAAAATCATGAAAAAAGTAGTCAAAAGATTGGTAAAGGAGACACAAAACACTGAAGCAAATAACACCTTAAAAAACAAAATAGGACAGATGGTAAAAGAGGTACAAAAAGCCAATGAGGAGAAGAATGTGTCGGAAAGCAGAATTGGCCGAATGGAAAAAGAGACACAAGAAATCACTGAAGAAAAAAACTCCTTAAAAAGAAAAATTGGCCAAATGGAAAAGGAAATACAGAACCTCACTGAAGAAAATAATTCCTTAAAAATTGGAATCGAGTAAATGGAAGCTAATGACTTTATGAGAGATCAAGAAACAATAAAGCAAAACCAAAAGAATGAAAATTAGAAGCCAATGTGAAATCTCATTGGAAAAATAAGTCACCTAGAAAATAGATCCAGGAGAGATAATTTTAAAATTATTGAACTACCTGAAAGCCATGATCCAAAAAGAGTCTAGACATCATCTTTCAAGAAATTACAGAGGAAAACTGCCCTGATATTCGAGAACCAGAGGGTGAAAGAATGCACCAATCACCTCCTGAAAGAGATCCCAAAATGAAAACTCACAGGAATAGGATAGCCAAATTCCAGAGTTCCCAGATCAAGGAGAGAATATTGCAAGCAGCTAAAAAGAAACAATTCAAGTATTGTGGAGCCACAGTCAGGATAACACAAGATTTAGAAGTTGCTATATTAAAGGATCAGAGGGCATGGAATATGATATTCCAGAGATTACAACCAAGAATCACCTACCCAGAAAAACTGAGTATAATCCTTCCGTGGGGAAGTGGACATTCAATGAAATAGAGGACTTTCACACATTCCTGATGAAAAGACCAGAGCTGCACAGAAAATCTGACTTTCAAATTGAAGACTCAAGAGAAGAATAAAGAAATAAACAGGAAGGGCAAATCCAAAGGGACTTAAATAAGATTAAACTGTTCACATTCCTACATGGGAAGATGATGCTTGTAACTCAGAAGAACCTTCTCATTATTAGAGCAGTTAGGAGTGTATATAGACTCCTAGACAGAGAGTACAGGTGTGAGTTGGATATGAAGGGATGATGTCTAAAAAAAATACAATTAAGGGGTGAGAAAGAGGAATGCACTGGGAGAAAGAAAAAGGGAGAGGTAGAATGGGGTAAATTATCTCACACAGAAGAGGCCAGAAGAAGCTTTAACAGTGGAGAGGAAGATGGGAGAAGGGAGGAGGGAGGGAACATTCCTCTCATCAGAATTGGCTCAAATTGGGAATAACATACACAGTTGGGTATAGAAATCTATCTTACCCTACAGGAAAGTAGGAAGGGAAGGAGATAAGAAAAGGGGGGGGGGTGATAGAAGGGAGAGCAGATTGGGGGAGGAAATAGAAGAAAAACATTCTTGAGGGGGCAGCTAGGTGATGCAGTGGATAGAGCACCAGCCCTGGATTTAGGAGGACCTGAGTTCAAATCTGGCCTCAGACACATAACACTTACAAGTTGTGTGACCCTGGGCAAGTCACTTAACCCCATTGCTTAGCCCTCCCCCCCAAAAAAAGGGAAAAACACTCTTGAGGAGGGACAGGGTGAAAGGAGAGAGAGAATAGAATAAAGAGAGGCTAGGGAAATAGGATGGAGGGGAATACATTTAGCAATCATAACTGTGAAAAAGATTTTGAAGCAAGTTTCTCTGATACAGGCCTCATTTCTCAAATATATAGAGAGCTGAATCAAATTTATAAAGATAGGAGCCATTCCCCAATTGATAAATGCTCAACAGATATGAACAGTTTTTAGATGAAGTAATCAAAGCTATCTATAGTCATATGAGAAGGTGCTATAAATTACTGTTGATTGGAGAAATGCAAATTGAAACAGTTCTGAGGGACTGCCTCATACCTATTACATTGACTAATAAGACAGAAAAGGAGAATGACAAATGTTGGAGGAGATGTGGGGGAAAATGAGACATTAATGCACTGTTGGTGGAGTTGTGAATTGATTCAACCATTCTGTAGAGCAATTTGGAACTATATCCAAAGGGCTATAAAACCAGGCATACCATTTGATCTAACAATAGCACTACTGGGTCTATATCCAAAAAGAGATTAAAAAAACACAAAAAGGAAAAGGATCTATACATACAAAAATATTTATAGCAGCCCTTTTCTGGTGGCAGGGAGTTGGACATTGAGAGGATACCCATTAACTGGGGAATGGCTGAACAAATTGTACTACGGGATTATGATGGAATACTATTGTGCTATAAGAAATAATGAACAGGATGCTCTCAGAAAAATCTGGAAAGATTTGCACGAGCTGATGCAAAATGAAATGTGCCGTTAACAAAGTAACAGCAATATTGTAAGACGATCAGCAGTGAATGACTTAGCTATCCTCAGCAATACAATGATCCAAGACAGCTCTGAAGGACTTATGATGAAAAATGCTATCCATCCCCCAAAAAAGAACTGATGGTGTCTGAATACAGACCAAAGCAGGCTTTTTTTTAAACTTTCTTTATTTTTCTTGAGTTTTTTTTTTGTCTATGTTTTCTTTTACAACATGATTAGTATGGAAATGTGTTTTGCATGACTACACATGTATAACCTATATTGAATCACTTGCCTTTTCAATTGGGAGGGGGAAGGAAGGGAGAGAATTTGGAATCTAAAGTTTTAAAAGCTATTGTTCAAAGTGGTTTTTGCATATAATTGGGGAAAAATAAAATACTAAATAAATTTTTAAAAAAATAAAAATGTCATTCACACACACACATACACACAAAACTAATGGGGGGGAAAAAGTCTGGGGAAAGTATACAAAGGATAAAGAGAGGGGGAAAAACCAACCAAAGTTATGCAGCATTCCTCTCCTGGTCCCCCCACCTCTGCAAAGAATGAAGTAGGGTACATTTTCTCAAGTCCTTGTGAGGGTCAAAGTTGGTCATCATAATTCCTCAGAGGTCAATTTCATTGGTTTTTGGATAGCCTTTATTTTTATTTTTAAAGCAAATAACCAACCAAAGGGAGCAGAAATTCAGACAGACCCAGAAGGGGGCACAGAGCAAAAGCATTTCCCCTCATTATTTGTCATTGGTTCATTAACTTGCTTCTACCTCTGTAAGCAGAAAGATTTATGAGGACAACCTTTCCAGCAATGAGCACTGTCCCAGACCAGCTGCCTTGGGAGGGGTCATCAGCCAGAGCTGGACAGTTACTGGCCAGGTGTGCTCAAAGAAGGACTTTCGTTCAGGTATGGCTTGCGCTAGCTGGCCATTGAGGCCTCTTCCAACTCCCGAATCCCACACATTTCTATGCTACCTCATTAAACACTAAGTGTTTAGATAAGATTTCATTTCTCCTTTTGTATATGTCCCTGAATATTTGTCTCTGGTTATTAAGGTTATAATGCAATTTTGAAAAATGATTCATATGCAGTGAAAATAGAATTCTTAACAAAAACCCCAAGGATATGAGATACACAATTACTCATGAAAGGAAAATGGTAATGGATTAGCTCTCGTGGGCCCATCTGGACTCAGACAGTATATGGGACACAGTAGATAGTGTCACTAGCGTGTGAATTTGGAGGCAGAAAGGCGTGGGTTCAAATCCTGTTCCTGACCCTTGCCAGTTGTGTGACCACGAGCAAGTGACGTAAGCACTCTGAGCCAGAGTGTCCTCCTCTGGAAAATGGGGATAAGAAGAGCACTCACCTCCCAAGGTTGTTGTAAGAATCCAACAAAGTGATGTGTGTCAAGTACTCTGTGAGGCACAGGAGAGTCCGGGAGGGACAGTGGCTAATGCGCTGGCCAGAGTCTGGGAGACCTGGGCTCAAGCGCCCCCTCAGGCACATGGTGGCTGTGGGGCCCTGGGCATGTCGCTCGCAATGCTCCACACAGCTCCCGAAGATGGCAAATTGCAGCTTTTCAGATCTGCATCGACAAATAGAGTTGCTTCATTAGTCGTTTCTCTCATCGACGAAATCACAGGTCGGGTTAAAAAAAATCAATCTAGTAAACTGGAGTTAAGCAGGAGGAGAGGAGAAAAGGAGAGAAACAGGGGGAAGGGGGAGAGAGGGAGGGAGAAAGAGGGAGACAGAGTGAAACACCAAAACAGAGAGAAACACCAAGACAGAGATAGAAAGGGGGAGAAAGTAGAAACAGAGATAGACAGAGAGAGAGAGAGAGAGAGAGAGAAGAGAGAGAGAGAGAGAGAGAGAGAGAGAGAGGGGGGGGAGGGGGAGGGGATGACAGAGTGAAACACTGAAACAGAGAGAAACACCAAGACAGAGAGAGAAAGGGGGAGAAAGTAGAGACAGAGACAGAGAGAGACAGAGAGAGACAGAGAGAGAGAGAGAGAGAGAGAGAGAGAGAGAGAGAGAGAGAGAGAGAGGGGGAGGGGGAGAGAAAAAAGAGAGAGATAGAGAAAGAGAGGAGAGGCAGAGAGAGAGGAGAGAAAGACAGAGAGAGAGGAGACAGAGAGAGAGGGAGGGAAGGAGGAAGAGAGAAACAGAGAAGGCTAAGATTCGTGCCTTTAAGTCCCCCTGGTCATCAGGCCATATAAGAGAAAATGATCCTAAGGTTAGAGTTGGAAAGGGCGTAGAAGTCATCTAGCACAGCCCCCTCCTTTTTATAGATGGGGAAACTGAGGCCCAGAGAGGCCGTGTGATTTGCCCAAGGCTCCAGAAAGTAGAAGAATCAGGATTTGAACTCAGAGCCTCTGATTCCACCCCAATGTTCTTTCCCCACTGCCTTTCTTCCATACTTTGTACAAGGCTGGCCTGTCCTATGTGAAAGCCAATATGCCCCTTTTCCAAGGCATGAGATAAATTTGCATCAAGGGTATTCTGACCCATTAATAGAAAGGTGATTCCCCAGGCCTGTCACCATAACTCACTGGGGCCAACTTGGTGCCTGGCTAGAGCCGGGTGGGGGAGGCTGAGTCATTCCATGGCACCTCCCTCAGCCCAGACCTCTAGGAGGAGATGCCACCTGGCCAAGGACGGCTAAGCAAGCAGCCTCCAAATGGGCCAGGCCTCCCTGGGGATCAGGAGGTAGGGGCATTGAAGAGTGGATGTGCTGAATGAGCCTAGATTTATAGATGGTTAGAACCAGAAAGGATTTTAGAGATGATTTCATTTAACCTTGTCCTTTTCAGAAGAAGAAATGGTGGCCTAGAGGGTGACTTACCTAACAGGAGGGAACTCAAGCCCAGCCCCACTGATTTTTAGTAGATTATGGGAGCCCAGGGAATCAGGCTGAGGATTCCAGGCTGAGAGGAAGTACTAGGGAGCCATTGCAGGTTCTGGAGCAGAAAATGGCAGCTAAAGTTTCCTCTCATCCCTATCTCTCCCTGCAGACCCACCTACCAACCCACAGGCACTGATTAAGCACCCAGTGTATACCAGAAGCTCTGCTAGTTATTGGGGGTACAAAGACCAAAGTAAGAAACAGTACCTGCTTTTTATTTTATTTTTTTTTTAGGCAGTTGGGGTTAAGTGACTTGCCCAGGGTCACACAGCTAGTAAGTGTCTAAGGCAGGATTTGAACTCTGGTCTTCCCAACTCTAGGTGCCCCCGAGCTGCCTTATCCCTCTTTGTCTCCTCCACAGAGCCAGAACCAAGGCCTTTCCCACAGTAAGTATTGGTGAATCACACAGTGGGACTTGACTTTAGAGGCACCTTGGTGTAAAGTATATAGAACATTGGACTTAGAGTCAAGAAAACCTGGCTTCAAATCCTGACTCGGGCACTTTCCACCTGCGTGAAGTCTCTTCACTTTCTTGGCCCGTTCCCTCCTCCCTAAGGTGAAGGGCTGGTTTCCATGACCTCTGAGGTCCAATCTCACTCTGAGTTGGCACCAGCATCCAAAAAAGGTCTAGGCTCAGAATCAGAAGATCTGGGTTCAAATCTCAGCTCTGGGCATCGATCCCCTAGAGACCTTGGCCAATCGCTTTATGCTGAAGCTCAGTTTCCTCATCTGAATTATGGGGCCAATAACCCTTGTACTCCATCACTCCCTCATGGGGCACCCCTGAGAAAAGCATTTGTGAACGTTAAAAAGTTTTCAAAATGGTCGCAGGGATTCTTCCGTGAGTCAATTATTGTGAGTGCTTTCTCCCCTAGCGCAAATCCTGGCCTTGTCCCACCTCGTCCTTCTGCCCATCTCATTTCTTATCCTCCTAAAGGATTCACTCAAGGCACTGGAGAGTTTTCGCTGGTTTTTGTTGTTGTGTTCGGGGTCTTTTTTAATGTTCTGTGGGTGCCAGTGGGTGTCATGGCTACCCACGGCCCAACCTTCCCTCTCCTTGCAAGACCCTCCTCCTCTTCCAATCATGTGTCCCCAATGCTAGTTTGTCACTTTTTTCTCACAAATAAGTCACTGTCGACCTGCTGCCGGCTGTTGACACCCCCCACGTGTCTTCCCATTGCCCTGTGGGTAACTGACATTTCTGTAGTCCTTTAAGTCTTACAGAATGCTTTACAAATGTGTCAAGGATTACAAATGTTCCAACATTGCTCTCTGGAGCAGAAATAGCTGGGAGGGGGAGGAGAGCTCCATGGGGTTGTTTCCCTGCGCTGTCTCCAAGATGCTTCCAAGCAGTCATGGGGAATTTGCATAACCCCAGCAAGCTTTCCGGGGGGGTTGTGATGACCTGGGAACCCAATCGTGGAAAGAGTCTGGGTTCTCCCCCCTCCATGCTCTAGAAACACCTAGGAAGCTTTGGGGTTCTACCTTGTCCCTGTCGCTCATCACCTGTGGGACACTGGGCAGATTATTGAACCCCTCAGTGTCTATATTTCCTCATCTATAAAATGAAGGGGTTTCCTTTTGTAACCCCAAAGGTCCTTTGTAGGAATGAGACTATGAGCCTTGACCCTTGAGGAGGAGAGGTGCTGCCAGGCTAATGGTGAAGGGAAAGCATTGCTTTCCATCTGTTGATTACCCCCAGTTCATATATGTGTGCATATACACATATATACATACATGTGTATCTATGTATGTACACATCACGTGTATGTGTATTGCATTGTAGTGTAAGCATGCATGTATATGCGTGTGTGTAAATATGATGTATGTGAATGATATATATGATATGAATATATACACATATGTGATGTATGTACATATGTGTATTTGTGATGTGTGTACACATATACATATATAATCTCCTGTTTGTCCATAGTTGTCTGCACATGATCTCCTCTGTTAAACTGTGAGCAACTTGAGGCCTAGGACCGTCTTTTGCCTCTCTTCGTACCTCCAGAGCTTAGCACAATGCCTGACACCTAGAAGGCACTTCACACGTGTTTATTGACTGATTGGTGAATGTGGAATTGGGTGAAAGAGTCCCTTGTAAAATGAGAAGAGGGCTCTTTCCTCTAGTCCCCGGGGAGACATTGTGTGTGAGATCTCAAGTGTCTGGAGCCCCAGTACGATAGAAGGCCTAGAAAAATAGAAGTACTCTGGTCTGGGGACGAGTTTGGAGCCTTAAGTAGATTCTACTAAGGCAGGTATTCTGGGATTTGATTCCCCCTATGGACTGCAATACAGCTGGTGCCCAGGGGAAGGTGATGAAGGCCATCTGTTGGGAGCTAAGGAAAACTACAGGAGGAAGTAAGGACAAGAGGAGTCCCTACATACAAGGCACCTAGTTTGTCTCCCAGGAATTAACAGGACCACAATCACTTCCTACCAGGAGCTGGGGAAGGCTGCAGGAGGGAGAAAAGGGGCCACCTAGGTTGAGGTAGGCACTGATCAGCTGGTAAGAGCTGGAGGAGAGAGCTGCAGATAACAATAATGCTGCAAGGAGTCTCAGAGGAAAGCACTAATCTGGAGACAGAACCATGGCGTTCCTACTGCTACATCTCTGCTCAGGCTAATACTGTCAGGGACAGAGACAGCAAAAGCCTCTAAGAAAAGGATAGATATTGTCATGCTCTGTGGCTTCTGATTAGATTCTTACCTTTATGTTCCCCCCCAAAAAAAAACTCTTGCTTGTATTTTGAGCTTTGTGGTCTCCTGCACTTGTGAAGGGGAGCTGGTGATTAGCCCCAGGAGAAGGGGATTCCAGACTCTGACATTCTCAGAGGTACCATGATGTAATAATAGGAGGAATGCTGGGTGTGCTCTCACAGCAGTCACAGACTGGCTGAGTGAATATGGGTGTGTCTTTAATCTCTGAGAGCCTCAGTTTCCTCCTCTGGCAAATGGGCATAAAAGGATTTGTACTGCATACCTCACAGGCTTGTTTGTAAGTAACTTGCAAGGTAAACTTGAAGCAGCTGGGGATGTGAGTGGCCACCACCACCTGCAGGGGGGCCTACCCGGGCCCTCTGTATCAGGAGGCAGTGGACTACTCAGATGTCTTATCTCCTCTCAGCCTCACACCTGTCCTAGATCAGAGATGGGGAGGTGAGGAAGGGAGGGAGAGAGACAGAGAGATGGTAGGGGTTGGGGAGAGAGAGGGAAAGGGACCCAGAGACACCAGGAGTCTGCTCCTCTGCTTTGGACTCCAAAGAGCCTCCCCCAGAAGACCTATATGGGGGTATGGGAAAGGGCTTGATGGAGAGGGAGGCCAGCCCAAGCTTTTAGGAGCACTCCCAGGGGAGTGCCAACTGTGCCCATTTTTGTTTTCTTTCAAGGTTGAGGGAGAATTTTCTTCCCAAAGGAGCCTTGAGGTGGAAGCCAGAGATGTGGCTGAGAGGGCTGGGGTGGCTGTGTGACTTTAGCCAAATGACTTCCCCTCCCTGGGCCTCAGTTTCCCCATCTGTAAAATGAGAGGGTTGAGCTAAATGGCCTCTGTGGGCCCACCAGTTCTAAGTCGTGTGATCCCAGGGCCTCTGAAAGTTGGGTAAATTTGAGGTATGCCATCCCTCCTTTCCTGGTGACTGTGGGCCACCTTCTGCTCACCTCCTGTTCGGGGAATAGTCTAGGGGCAGAGGAAGTTCAATGTCAAAGCCCTTCTGAGACTTGTAAAGAGCAGTCAGAGGAAAAGGCCCATCCAGGCTGGGGGAAGCTGGCTTGGCTCTGCCATAGTCATTGTCTTTCTCTGACACAAGTTTGCTCCAGAATTTTTTTTGGGGGGGGGCAGCAATTGGGGTTAAGTGACTTGCCTAGAGTCACACAGCTAGTGAGTGTTATGTGTCTGAGGATGGATTTGAACCCTGGTCCTCCTGACTCCAAGGCCAGTCCTCTATCCACTGCGCCACCTAGCTGCCCACTGCTCCAGAACTTTCGATGGCTCCTTGCTGCCGTGCAGACTGGTCACCCTGGCATTCAATGTTCTCCGAGGTCTGGTAGCATCTTCTCTTCCCAGTTTCTTCTCATTTGATTTCCCTCCATCCCTCTCTACCATCTAGCCAAAGCAGAGAACATGCTGGACGTTTCCCCAGAAGCCGATGTGCTCCTGTTGTCTGGCTGCCAGGAGAAGGGAGGGTGACCATCATGCTGCCCTTTGGCTTCACTGGACCCTCTGGAAGGGACTGTGTTCAGTCCTGGGTGCCATGATTTCAGAATACTGATGAGCTCCAGAGGAGCGCTACCAGCATGAGGAAGGCCCTTCAGTCAATGTCAGATAAGAAAGGACTTCTGTGTCCCCATTCTGGAGAAGAGAAGACTGGGGGCATCTCTCACCCATGGGAGAGGGTCAGACTTGCTGGGCAGGGCCCCAGGCTCAGTGGCAGTGAAACGTCTTAGCAATTTGAGCTGCCCCAGTGTGGAAGGGTCTCCTTCCAAAGGTCCAGCACTTACAGCATGCCTGGCACATGGTAGGTGCTTAATAAACATTGATTGATTGATTGACTGATTAGTAGGCATGTTCTTCAAGCAGAGGCTGGAAAGTGCCCACTTACTGGTGAGGATTCTTGTTCAGGAGGCATTGGATGACATGCCTCTGAGGCCCCTTCCAGCCCTGAAATCATGGATCCTGTGACCTGGTGCTTTGCCCTTTCTCTGTGTCTGGCATTCCTTTCCCCTCACCCTCCACATCTCTTTGTCTATTGAATTATTCTGGCATTCAAGGCCCTCCCCATCCTACCACCACCTGCTTTTCTGACCTTCTCTCACATGTTCCAAGCCCCTGTCTACTCCTAACATCCTCTCCTGCCTCCATGACTTGCCTCCCGCTGCTCCTATGCTGGTGATGTCCTGTCCACCTCTCTTTGCCTAATGAACGCCTCCTCATCCTTTAAGCAGTTGCTATTGGTCAGTCGTTCAGTTGTGTCTGACTCTTCTTGACCCCTAGACCGCAGCAGGCCAGGCCTTCTGTTCTAGCCTCCACCATCTCCCCACGTCTGTCCAAGCTCATGTTCGCTGTTTCCATGACATTATCTGTCCATCTCATCCTCTGCTGTCCCCTTTGCCTTTTGCCTTCAGTCTTTCCCAGCACCAGAGTCTTTTCCGATGAGTCCTGTCTTCTCATCATGTGGCCAAAGTACTTAAGCTTCCACTTCAGTATTTGACTGGCCAGTGAATGAATGGTCTGAATTAATTTCTTCTGATCAATTTCATCTCCTTCTGTCCCGAGGACTCTCAAAAGTTTTCTCCAGCACCACAATTCAAAAGCACCAATCCTTCAGCTTTCCTTATACTCCAACTCTCACAGTTGTGCATTGCTCCTGAAAAAGCCATGGCTTTGACTATAGGGACCTTTGTTGGCCAGGTGAGGTCTCTGCTCTTCATGTGCTGTCCAGATTTTTCAAGGCTCTCCTTCCAATGAGCAGGCTTCTTTTAATTTCACTGCTGCGGTCGCTGTCCATGGTGATCTTTGAGCCCAAGAATATAAAACCTGACACTGCTCCCATTTCTTCTCCCTGATTGCCAGGAAGTGCTGAGAGCCACTGCCGAGATCTTAATTCTTTGGATGGTATGCTTCAATCCAGATTTTACACTCTCTGCTTTCACCCTCATTAAGAGGCTTCTTAATTACTCTTCACATCCTTTAAGATGCCACCTCCTGCAGGAAGTCTTCCCTGACTCCTTTCCCAACCTTGTTAGACCTCACACAGCCCTTGGTTGGGCCCTTTCTCATTTACCATTCAAGGCATGTTAGGAGTGGACAGAGTCTTGCAACATGTGAGGGAAGGTCAAGAAAGTCAGGTGGTGGCAGGATGTGGAGGGCCTTGAGTGCCAGAATAATTCAATAGACAGAGTTGGGAGGGGAGGGAAAGGGAATGCCAGACACAGAGGAAAGGCAAAGAATCAGGTCCCAACTATTCTAGTCACCCGGGTGACTGTCTGCTCCTCCTACCAGACTCTGTGCTCCAGGATAGCAAGAACTGAGTCTTTTCGCCAAGGACAGAGCTCTGTACATCATGTTGTGGTTCCATCATTTTCAGTCATGTCCCACTCTCCATGAGCCCATTTGGGGTTATCTTGGCAAAAATCTTGGAGTGGTTTGCGACTGGAGTGGTCCAACTAATTTTACAGATGAAGAAACTGAGGCAAATAGGGTTAAGTGACTTGTCCAGGGTCACCCAGCTAGTAAGTGTCTGAGGCCACATTTGAATTCAGATCTTCCCAACTCTAGCTACTGGGCCACCTAGCTGCCTTAGGCATTTAATAAATGTGCAAACAAATTGTATGGAAAGTCTGGAGACCTAGGTTCTCCCCCTGACTTTTCCAGCTATGTGACTCTGGGTAAGTCATTTCTGTTCTCTGAGCCTCAGTTTCCCCATCTGTACAATGAGGGAGTCAGATTATATAATCTCTAAGGTTCCTTTTATGGTCAACATTCTGTGAGATCTGAGTTGCCCTGGAGCATCTGGACAGGTCCTAGAGGCGCTTTATGGTTTGGGCAAGGGGCTGGACAAGATGCCTTCTACCTGGGAATCCTGAAGTCCCGTGACTCTCATCTGTCAATCAATCAGCAAGCATTTCTTTCTTTTTAAACCAGTGTTCATGGATATCACTCTTTTCTGTATTTCTCATGCTTGTAGTTGGATTTGATTTGATCTGTATTTGATTTCACTCATTTTTTGTATCTCTTATCTTTGTATTTCTCACACTTGTATTTGTCATTGCATCCTTAGCCCTCCCAGAGAGCCACCTCTTCACAGTTTGGTGAAGCTAACCTGGCCAGCCCCAAACCTCCACCCAGGGGTAGGGAGGTGCTTTCTCCTCTGGTTCTTTGGGACCGATCTGGGTTGTGCAATTTAACAGCATTTAGTTTTAATTACTTCCTACAAATATTCTCCAAGGGCCTGCCAAGTGCCCAGCATGGACAGGCACCAGATATCTCTGGTAAAAATCCAATAGGGCCCTCTGGTATCAGCCCCCTCCGGTGCCTCATCAGAATGGGGAGGGGCCCTGCCTTCTGGAAAGCTCTGCTAGTGAGGCCTGAGGCCAGACAGGCCCCACTAGGCTGGGAAGGCTTCCAGGGCAGGCCAGGGAGGGGGCAGTATGAATGTCTTCCAGCACCTTGCTCAGCGTACTTGTTGGATCTGATATGGTTAGACTCTCATCTGAGCCCTGGCCCAGCTCTGCAGAGGGAGGCTCATCACTAAAACGCTGGCCATGGGGGTGGAGGGTTTTCTTCAGCAGCCGTGCAGAAAATTGCTTACACAGACAGGGTCATAACCAAGGTGGGGCAACTGGGGCTGTGAGTGAGTGTGTTGAAATTTAGAAGGGGCTGACAGCAATCCCCCTGGGTGTGCTTCCTCCCTCCACTCTCCATATCCCAAGTCCTGGGACCCCACATCCTGGGTTCCCCCTTCCCCACAGCAGCTAGTTTTTCAGCAAGGTAGAAGCCTTAATGAGTATCAACACAAGGTAGTGGATAAGAGTCTCAGCGTGCAGTTAGGAAGGCCTGGCTTTGAACCCCATTTGGCTTCAGTTTCCTCATTTGTGAGATAAGGAGTTTGGACTTGAAGAAAGGAAGGAACCAATCAGTGAAGCACCTACTATGTGCCAGCACTTTTTTGAAATAGTATCCCATTGGATCCTCATAACAACACTAGGAAGTGGGTGCTTATTATTAATATTACTATTCTCTTTTTACATTTAAGGAAACTGAGGCAGACAGG